AGCAATGTTTGATCTAGTACATCATTGTAGCTTGTGTAATTTTTCATAAACCTTAGGTCATGCATTTTGCCATATTGGGTTGTCTGAAATTGACAACAATCTGGAAGAATCTGTTGCTATCAAAAGGTTTTGAAAGTGCAAAATCGGGGTTTGTTATGGAATAACCAATTAACACATGCAACCTTCTAAACAATTAGGTTTTCGATTGTGAAAGCATACAAAACTCCAATGTAGTGAGTTAATTAATTTTCCTCTTCCCATTCTCTTAATATTAATGCAAAAAATGTAAATCACAAAAGGGGTTTGGCAGATCATGAGTTTTAGATAATTGTATATATTAGTGTTAAAAATTAGGTAAATGGGTTTGAACACACAAAATGGTCATATGTAATTTTGCGTCTGAATGGGTGTATTGTAGCCGCATTTCAATTACTGGGTAGAGAAGAAAAGCTCAGTGTCTTACTGATTCTGAAGCAATAACCCAAAATTTGGACCTGGTGGCCCAAATTCAGTATTGTGCTACAAACCACACGCACAAGCAAGCGCGTGTTGTACATGTACCATATTATTTTGTTATTTTTTTTCCTCTTATAGACAATTTTAAATTGCGACAAACGCTGCTTCATAACTAAACTTGACATGACAATACGTACCTACACACAACATATAAATGCTTTTTAAAACAACATAAAATTATAAGAGCGATATATACAATTTATATGAAATTTTAATAAAATAGGCAAAAAAAACATATAAATATAAACTTATAAATAAAATATGCAAAAATTATTTTTAAAATTTTGAAATTATAATTTTAAATATTTAAATATTTAAATATGATATATATCCATATGCTATAATATAGAGAACATATATTATTAAAATCAACTTAGTAATAAGATATTAGAATAATATAATTGATACTTAAAAAAAAGAGGAAATTCTACTTTAATATATTGATATGAATTGCCTTGAAATAGTTGACATTTAATACAAATAATATGTAAAGTATAAACCGTGAAAACTTAAAATTTGATTTGGAATAAATAAATATTAGAAAATATATATTATGTGTGTTTAATTTAGTGACTAGCCAAATTTGTTCTACTTAAAATGCCAATTTAGTGAGCGAGACAAATGCATATTATTGAGTTGGCTTGATAACTCACAATTTTAGTTTTTTTTTTTTTTTTTTTTTTTTTTTTTTTTTTATTTTTTTATATTTATT